GTTTTGATATTCTATTGTCAAGGCAAATACTTTATTATGCTGTTTTTTTTTATGGGTGCCAAAACCTAGCTTTAAAACTCATGAAATGTTTACTACATTCAACCCAGGAGATTATTGGTTGTTGACCACATCTTGACAGCTTCCGTGTTGCTACATTGGAGTAATGTCACCCGGTAACCAGATAGCGCCTTGATTGGACCATGTGACTGATTGTTTGGGATTGATGGAAAAACTTTTACTTTTAATTAGGTGAAAAACGCAGGAACCTTCAGAGTCGGTTTACACCAGATCTGTGCCAAGATGATGTTTCCAATAAAACTATTCTTTGAGGAATCTACCTGCCTCGGAGGTTTTCTTGCAATGAATCTATTACTTGGAAAACTTGTGTCAGGATTCTGATGGCTGCCTTAATTAATTCATTAGCCCCAAGCCAAGTTTCAAAAGAAATCCAATTATTTATTAGGAGCAACATATCGGCACCTTTCCCAAGTGCAGCTGGCTCTGCCCTACGTAATTCACTGCCCACCTATGACCCTGTTTCCCGCCTCCTCTCAGGGTGTGTCATAAATCACATTCTCCAATAAAGCACTTTCACGGGCTGTAGAAAACGTGCCTCTCCCACTGGCTCTGGTAACCTGAGACACAATCTGGAGAAAGGTATGCGTGGAATGGGCTTCTGGTCATAGCAACCGAACTGATCCATCAGATCTCCCCCCTCCTTCTTCTTATGGCAACTCGAGAGCAAGCCAGGAATGCTTTACGAGTTGACACCTTGACTTATGACTGCAAATTGGACTGGATTTTTTTGTTGCCAAGCAAGGCAGTACTTAAGTGAGTCATGCCCAATGTTATGATCCTGTTTGGTGTAATCATTAAGTGGGTCACCATGATCATAAAACAAGTCATGAGGTTGTTAAGTGGGTCCAGCTTCTCCAATTGACTTTGCTTTTCAGATGCCAGCTAGGAAGGTTACAAATGGTGATCATGTGATCCCTGGGATGCTATAACCATCATAGATACATGCCAGTTGACAAGCATCCAAATTTTGACAGCAGGGACATGCTAGCAAGTCACTTTTTTCAATGCCACCAAAACTTCAAAGAGTTGTTAAACCAATGGTCAATAAATCAAGGTGTCAGGGGAAGCTCCATTCAAAATCCAAGAAAGAAAACCTTACACTCCATTGTTATAGAGAAAAGGACTTTTACTGAAAATTAAAGTGGTAACATCAAAAGAAATACAAGATCTGAGGCAACAGGCGCAAAAATCACATATAGAAAGTTATCCCATGTTCCCACTCCCAAGAGTTCAAACTGGCCATCCAATCTGAGATGTGTATAATATCATGTGGGGTATCTTCAGGTGGTGTTTCACATATCCGAATGCCAAGACGGTTGGCCTTGGCCTAGAGAGATAAGAGGCTACATCTACGCAGTGAGCAAGTAAGCATAGTCAAGAAAACATCCAAACGTTTACATTTTACCAACTCAAATCTCCAGCACTCTTCCCCACAAGAAGCCCAATTATTCTTCCATCCCACCTTTTCCATGGCATCCAGAAAGACAAGCTGAAGAAGGATTCTTGGAGGCTGACACAAGGACTACCTACCCTCTTTTTCCTGCTAAACAAGCACATCTGTATATATTAATTATGGAAGAGTTAAAATGGCTCCTGAAGATAAAGGAATAAATTGCCACACCTTCTGGAGCTTATCCACCAGTTTAAACTAAGTCTTGATGCTCGCAGAGAGAACCATATTAAAATGAGGTCTGGCACGTGTCACTGAACTTCAGCACAATGTATTATAATGCATTACAAGGGGTGCTATCAAAAAATTGAAAATGCAACCAGTGTTTCAGTTAGTTATAGTAATTTTTCAATGCTATTCCAATCTTGTGCAAATTAGAAGCCACTTATGGCTCCGAAGACTGACAGGAAACTGAATGAGGTCCTCATTATTCTTTTAATAGGATTACTGGTTATTTCCTGCTAAAATGTTCTTCACAACGAATTATACAGCATACCACCAGATTCAAAACCAGTGTAAGAAACACAGGAAGAATATTCTATCAAATTTAGGACAAACAGATCTCCAAATTGATATGATGTTTTTCACATTCAATTATGGTACATAATTCCTCTTTTCAACACAGATCAAATTATTATATGAATTGGTACCACTTCATTGGAAACTATGCTTTTGAATTCCAAGTGCTTTAAAAAACAGTTTGGGATGTTTTTGCCATACCAAACAGTTTGCTCCTCTTATCAAGACTGTATCTTCCATTAACTTATAACTCCCACCCCCAAAACAGCCAACCATTCCATTGTTATAAGGAAGTGAGAGATAACATTTTAAGTTTTAGGTTTCTTGGATTCCCAAAGAAATTACATTAATGATAGCACAGGGTTTTTTTCTCCAAACACTATGTACTCCAGAGGTTTTGTAGAATTTTATCCTACTAAACCACGTTTAGGAATGGTGGAAGTTTCACTCCAAGAGGTTCAGAGGACACTACATTATGAAAAGTTTGGAGCATTTGTGTCATATAAGGTATGGAATGGAAAGATACAGGATTGCTACAAAAATAAATCTCAGGTTACTTAGTTTTGTGTTCGTATCTGCATTTCTTTACCTTGCAAACCACAACATAAAGCTTAGAAAACAAGAATTTGTAAAATAAAACTTCAGTGCATACATACTCATGGAAAGTGGTGCTGGTAATTAACTAAATTGTAACTCAAATCTATTCTTCCACATTTGGTCTACAGCAGAAGCAACATTTTAAGCTATGGTTACATTGTTTAGAATCATCCTTTTAATTTTTTGAAGTTCAGAAAAGTATTTTACAAAAGCTTACATAACAGCAGATATTCATCAGGTATGCTATTTTTTCATTTTTCCTCTTCTTTCCAATCCAACTGACCTAACTTTCAGAACACATGAAACAAACAGTACAAAGCTGGAAAATTTCCATTTGAACTGAAACTATAATCAGAAAGTGGATTTGAGAGTTGAAACCATATGTCATCCCTTCTATCTAAATTGAAGATGCTGCATTTTGTCGTAAAGTTAACAGGACAATTTTCTTAGGGAGCAGTGTAAATTGGAGGGATGGAAGGGCTCATAGTCCAACCCCTTACTCTAGGAAGGCATCCATATTCCACCCCAGACAAATACTTGTGCAATCTTTTCTTGAAAACTTACAGTGATGGAGCATCCACAACTCTAGGAGGCAAGCTGTTCGAATGACTAATTGTTCCCTCTGTCAGAAAATGCCTCCCTTACTTTTAGGTTGGATCTCTCCTTGGTAAATTTCCATCTATTACTTCTTCTCCTGTTCTGAAATGCTTTGGAAAATAGGTTGGCCTCCTCTTCTCTGTTACAGTCCCTCAAATACTAGGAGACAGTTACAATGTCCTCCCATCAGAGATGGTATTCAGCAGGTTCTGACCAGTTCTGGAGAACCGGGAGTGGAAATTTTGAGTAGTTCGGAGAACTGGAAAATCCCACTTCTGACTGGCCCCACCCCCATCTATTCTCTGCATCCCAAGTCCCAGCTGATTGGCTGGATCTTCTTTGGTTGTCCTGCCCAGGAGAACAGAGCTGGAAAGCAGGTTAGTGGGGTGGGGAGGGAATGGGGATTTTGCAGTCTCCTTCCCCTGCCACACCAACCAAGCCACACCATGCCCACAAAGCCACGGCCACAGAATCAGTAGTAATTTTTTTTGAATCCCATCACTACTCCCAATCCTTCTCTTTGATAAGCTAGACATAACCTGGTTCATCATACAGTTTAGCCTCCAGACCCTTTATTTTTGTTGCTCTTCTCTGAACCCTTTCAAGCCACAGAATTGATCACTGCCTCAACCGGAAAAGGTCCCAAGTAATGGTGATCAAGCTTTTTCGATGGCCACATCATCGGTAAGTATTGAGTAGAGAGCCACACCCGATTGCCTACCGCTAAAGGCAGAATATCACAATGATTTCAGTCTGCAAAGCATTTGTAGTCCTCTTTGGCTTTCTCTAGTTGGTCTCAAACCATGTGGTGCATGGCTTTTAACTCTTGCAAGAATGTATCCACTGCTGGAACTGGGGAGTCAGATGGGGCTAAAAGAAAAAGTCCTGGATGAAAACCATAGTTGGCAAAGAACAGGGACACACAAGTGGATGCCTGTTGAGCATTGTTGTAAGCAAATTCAGCCACTGGCAGCACTTTCACTCAATTGCCTTGTTGAGTATTGCTGAAACAGCAGAGGTACTGCTCCAAAATAGCATTTACTCTCTCTGTCCCCCCATCAGTTTTGGGGTGATGGGATGATGATAGACATGCCTGAACCTGCAGTTTTGCGAGTAGGGTCTGCCAGAAGTGTGCCATAAATTGTATCCCCCAATCTGATACTATTCAGTCTGGTAACCCATGCAGCTGGAATCCATGGGAGATGAACAATTGGGCCATTATTCTGGCCATAGGAAGACCCACAGATGGAATAAAGTGGGCCATTTTAGTCAACATATCCACCACCACCAAAATGGTTGTAGCACCCTTCAATGGTCGCAATTCAGTAATGAAGTCCAATGAAACTGCCCCAAGGTCTTTCTGGCATGGGTAATGGCTGCAAGAAAGCAGGGGGTGCACCAGGAGCATACCTGGCTTGTCAACAGATCCCACAGAATGCCACATATCCTGACACCTCATGTTTAAGTCTCGGCCACCAAAATCTCCTTGAGATGAGATCACCCCAAAGTGTCCTCCTCCGGACTATCATGACATTGACGTAAGATCATGAAGAGGACCTCCAGGCATGGTAATATGATAACAGAACTGCAACAGGTCCCCAATATATGCCCAAGGAGTCTCTTGTCTCCCATTCTCATCTAATTCATGACACCGAGCTGCCACAAATGGATCCTGTCGCTGCGCCTCCTGAATCCTCACTCGAAGGTCCAGAGGTTCCTCTGTGGCTGCAAACCACTCCAACAGAATCACTGTCCAGACCAAGATTTTGTCCTCCCTTCGGGTGTACTCGGGGTTCCAGGACAATGCATCAGCACGTAGATTCCCCCCACTTGGAACATACCAACTCTGCAGGTAGATCCAAGTCCATGGGCGTAATCATACCCCCTACACAGGATTGCAAGCAATGGTTGGCACACTTCCCATCAAGAAATTGCACAGTTCCAGAATTCTAGACAATCTGTGGATCATGGGACTGTAACCACTCCAAACCCAGCACCACCTGAAAATGTTGTACTGCAGCAATGTAGAACATGGCTTCTTCTACATGCTGCCCAGTACACATGCAAAGGGGTTTGTTTGCAGCAACCACAGGTCCCAAACGTTTTTTAAATTACTGGCAGGGACACCTGTTGCTGGGAAATGAACCACTGCTCAACAAAATGAGCATCCATGAAATTGGCTGTGGCCCCTGAGTCGACCAAGGCTTGGATCTCCACCACTCAATGACCAGGGAAGGATTTAATAAAATATTTTTAAAAATATGATTAAATATCTTCAGTTAGTACAAAATGCCAGAGCAGCAAGTTTGTATACTATTTAATATTGGTTAAACTGAAAGCTAATTAATTTCTGGATAGAATTTAAACATGATCATTTTAGCATTCATTGCCCTAAACATGGGGTAAAATTATTTGAACAACAGTCTGTCTTACACTCATATAACTGAATATTAGGAGCTAAATTGGAGGCTCTGTAGACAGCAGCAAAAGCTTTTAATTCCAATAGTAGGCAGCTAAACAACTGTCTTAGTGGTGAGCTACAGAATGCTTCCAGGAGGGAGGGAGGAAGGAAATTGAGAGATGATGAGGGAGGGAGGGAGGGAGGGAGGAAGGAAACTGAGAGCTGTTGAGGGAGGGAGGAAGAATATCATGGATGAAATCAGAGATAGATAAAACATTCTATCGTAAAAAAAATGCATTCATTAATGATAGATAAAACAGTAATAGCTCATGTCAATTTCACTATTTTTCATAAAATTATTCTATCCTACTCTCTTTTCTAAACTGTCCCATGGGAAATGTACCTGCAGAAGGTTAATTTCAAATATGCATGCCCCCTTGTTTTCTGAGCAAGAGTATTAAAGATACTCAACAAATTGCAATAAAAATATTTGTCCAGTAGTCACAGTTCCCGTCACTTAAAATCAATGTTCAGAAACACTGAGTTCCTCCAGTAACTCTATCACAAATAAAATCAGAGCAGGGATTTTCCTGATTGCAACTTGTATTTCTTCTATAAGAGCAGTGTTCCAATAGTTTAGGGGCTGCCATAGAGAGGAGGGGGTCAAGATGTTTTTCAATCCAAAGCACCTGAAGGCCAGAGAAGGAATAATGGATGGAAACTGAACAAGGAGAGATTCAACCTGGAAATAAGGAGGAATTTTTCTGACAGTGAGAACAATCAACCCATAGAACAGAAGTTGCCTTCAGAAGTTGTGGGAGATTCATCACTGGAAGCTTTCAAGAAGAGATTGGACTGACGTTTATTGGAAATGATGTAGGGTCTCCTGCTTGGGTGTGGGGGAGTTGGGCTAGATGACCTACAAGGTCCCTTCCAACTGTTAATGTGCTGTCCTAAAATATCTGGGAGGCATACTGTTGTGGAAATAACCATCAGGACAATTGCAAAAAGTACCAATTATTTCTCTTTCCTCCTTTTTTCTCTTTCTCAATAAATCACCCATTGCTAGGATTCCCATACTTCTTATCTAATCATTAAGCATTGGTGTAATTAATATGCATGTGCTAAGAGCCCAGCACAGTAAGAACATAATCACCTATTGATTTGATTCATTGAGGTTCTTGTGTGGGAAAGCAAAGATAGATAGGCAGCATTTTTTTTTAAATGCCTCAAAGATAAAGTAAGTGGGAAGTTACCAATGCAGTGAGGTGCTAATTAACATCTCAATTAAGAAAAGCAAATTAAACTATTTGAATCCTTCTTCTTTGCTGCTTTGTTTTGCTAAATGAAGTATTAAAAATGATTGTCCTAAGAAACGAAAACACTATTTATATCAGTAGGATCGTTCTTTACAGGAGTTAGAATGTGGCATTACAGCTTTTATCGGCTAGCAGAAACTTTATTCTTCCAACAGAGAACTCATTATCGATGGCAAATTTTGTATTTTTCAACTTTTATGTATTGTTTCAGCAAGGCTTGTGGTTTCTTTTAATATTCTTCTCTTATATTTTATATACTTAAATTGTTCTTCTAGTACAAGGTAGAAAGGTGCTTGACTTTCACATTTTCCCTCCTGAAACTGTTCACATTATGCACAAAAAAAGGAAAGATATCCAAATTATTTTTTAAAAAAAGTCTGAAGTCTTTTGTTATCACTGCTGGAATTTTTTTTTGGACACTCGATCACAGCTTTTTAACTAGTAGCATGAAGAATTGAAGAGATTAGAGCGAAACCATCGCTTTTCTGCTTACTACTTATTTTATGTATTTATTCATTTGTCAAATGACAAATTTGAACAAAAAAATGAAAAAAAATGTGACAGGGACAATAGGTATATTAATGCATGCCATTTGAAGAACTTCTAAAATGTGGGGTGAGGTCATGTTAGAAGTTATGTTAGAATTCAAACTGTGAAAGTTAGTAGTGGAGACAATTGAATTGAATAAAATATTCCAGAATTTGACAGCTCTATTACAAAAATTGATTTTCGTTTTACAATTGAGTTAAAGCGGTTTACATTAATTTAAAGCAGTTGTTTGCATGTGTTACATTTCATTATAAAAGAGTACAGAGGGAAGAACAGATGAAAAAGTAGGACTAGCAATAGCTCTTAAACTTATATACCACTTCACAGTGCTTCACAGCCCCCTCTAAGCGGTTTACAGAGTCAGCCTCTTGCCCCCAAGAATCTGGGTCCTCATTTTACCCACCTCAGAAGGATGAAAGGCTGAGTCAACCTTGAGCCGGTCAGGATCAAACTCCTGGTTGTGGGAAGAGCACTCCTACTCTTTAAAACATGCTTTTTGATATTCACCTGTACCATGGGGTGGTGGGAATTATTTTATTTTAAAGCAATAAAAGGAGAGGACATACAGTAATTCAGTAATTACGTCAACCATTGCTTTCAACCTTAAAGTAAGTTCACAATACATTTTAACAGTTCAAGTTTTGTGTTTAATTATGTGCATTAGATTATAACATGCAAAAGGACCTCTTAAAGAAGCATTTCTGTGACACTGAAAGGGGAAAAAGTGAGGGAAAAAGACATATTTTTATGAAAACTGTTAAATCAATTATAAGAAGCAATATTGATGTAAGCTGAAACTTTTCAATCATACCAGGAAGATTATCTGAAGCCCCAAGTAGACCACTGAACATTTCCTTTCATTCAATGGATGCTAAACAAACAAAACCAAGATTGTCACAATTACATTCTGTAATAAAGTGCCCTCAGGAGAGGAACTCTGGTTCTATTTTATTAATCCATCCATGGCCACTGATAATGAAGAAGTTTGAAGTTGGCAATTTCTTTTTCCCAAGTACAAAACAAGTGTCAACAATTAATCATATCTTACTAAGTTGCACTTGGATTCACTTTCAGCAATTAGCTGAAATGTATTATAATTTTCTTTCCACAGCTGTCAACAAAAATCTGACAGGCACAGAAACATGTTAACAGTGAGAGTCCTCTCCAAGTTCTCCTTTATCTTGTTTTTATATTTCACTCTCAGTAACTGTAGAGCAGGGTTTTGTTCCTCTGTTTTTTTTTTCCCAAACTTGGCAGTTTGAAGATATGTGGGCACCTGGCTGGGGAATTCTAGGAGTTGAAGTCCACATATTTTCAAATTGCCAAGTTTTGAAAAATACTATTCTAGATGAATGGGAATACAATCAGGGGTGGGATTCTACCAGTTCGCACCTATTCACTAGAACTGGTTGTTAACATTTTAAGCAGTTCAGAGAACCGGTTGTTAGAAGAAATTACTGGCCTAACCCCGTAAGGAAGGCAGGAAGGAAACATTCTGGTGTTGCTTACAGAAACTGCCTCTCCGTTAACCCTTATTACATTCTTGGCAGGACAGGACTTCCTGTCTCAGGAACATCACTGGAGTTTTTTTCCCCTCCTTTCCTCATACTTTGCTTGTGTGGAGTGACCATTCAAAGTTACAATGGCACTGAAAAAAAGTGACTTATGACCATTTTTCACACTTACAACTGTTGCAGCATCCCCATAGTCATGAGAGGCCAGGTGAGGAGATGCATGCCTCGATCTGAGTGATGTTGAGTTGGCCACACCCAGCCAATAACATGACCACCAAGTCACGCCCACCACCTAAGCCACACCCACAGAACCAGTTGTTAAAAATTTGAATTCCACCCCTGAATACAATCTTAACAGAAATCAGAATTAATAGAAATAAAAGACAGTTCTGCCCTGGAAAAGAGAAATAGGAAACATCTCAAGTTTGATATAAGAGACACACAAAGAGAAAATCTGGTAGGTCTTCAAATTTCTGTTGTTATGATGATCCCCAACAACAATAAAGTAGCACTGCTGTGGTGATATCTGTCTTGACTGGTTATTAATCTATTAAAGTCGGGTGGCCAAAGAATTTAAATAATATCTTTCGTCAAGATATTTTGACTGAACACAAAGTCAGCAGATATAAGTTGTTCCTTGGGAGTTGGACTAGAAGACCTCGAAAGTTTCTAACTGTTATTGAATTACACCAAGGTTATTTATTTTATAGCGCTAAAGATTTCAAGGCATGATCATCTGTACATTCAGCAATGCCTAATTGGAAGAACAGAAGATTCAGCCGATTGATTGGTATTTCACTACTGGGCATACTTACTTTAAGTCTGAAGGTTGCATTTGAGATGTTTATTGGGGAAGCAAGTACTGTCCTTGGAAATTACTTTTGGGCAACCTCTTTGCGAAGTTCTTAATGAGTAATTCAATATGCATCCCCTGCATATTCTGGGTTATAGAATTTTGGCCTCCAAAAATGTTTAAGTGCCAGGAATAGAATAGAGAATAACAGAGTTGGAAGGGACCCTGAAGGTCTTCTAGTCCAACCCCCTGCTTAGGCAGGAAACCCTTTACCATTTCAGACAAATGGTTATCCAATATCTTCTTAAAAACTTTCAGTGATGGAGCATTCCCAACTTCTGGAGTCAAGTTGTTCCACTGATTAATTGTTCTCACTGTCAAGAAATTTCTCCTTAGTTCTACAGTATGTTGCTCCTCTCCGTGATTATTTTTTATCGATTGTTTCTTGTCCTGCCTTCAGGTACTTTGGAGAATAGGTTGACCACCTCTTCTTTCTAGCCACCCTTGAGATATTGGAACACTGCTATGAACACCCCAAGAATGAAATACTTTTCTGGTTAGGAATAAAAAGTTTTTATTAGCCATGGAGGAATTAAGTGCTGTTCCATTTATACACTCATTATCAATTTTCCAAGATTAAAAACTTCTACATTCTTGGTATACATTCCTGGTGTTCGCTCATCTCCTCCAGGAACCCTGGTATGATGAGGCAACACAGCAGGACTTTGGGAGGAGGATAAATTGTGTACTCTACTTTTCCCCCCCAAGGACTAAGACAGATTATTCCTGGTTTTCACTCTTTTTTTCTCCCCATAATTATCACACATCAATTATCGTTAGACAGTATCTGTGTTTGTGTATAAATAGTCCAGAAAAGTGCAACTGTGCAGGAAGTAAATCTTATTATTCTTAGTCCAATAATTTAATTCATTCTTTCATCCTTCTGCATGCCTTAGAAGCCAAGATAGAATGCCAGCAGTGGCTCAGTGGCTAAGACACTGAGCTTGTCGATCAGAAAGGTCAGCAGTTCAGCAGTTTGAATCCCTAGCGCTGCATAACGGAGTGAGCTCCCATTAAGATTGCTAATGCAATCCTAAATGGTATTAACAGAGGGATACAATCAAGATCAAAGGAGGTACTAATACCACTTGATAAAGCGTTAGTAAGACCACACCTAGAGTACTGCATCCAGTTCTGTTCACCTCATTACAGAACAGATGTTGATATCTGTCGGAACCCTGACATCATGGGCACTTATTCGGTTCATAGTAAATATTTACAGAAATGTTAAAGCAGCAGGACTAGGACTAGGGAGATCATGGTTTAATGAACTTGACTTCAAAGCTTCATGAGTCTCTCTAAGCCAGGGGTGTCAAACTCAAGGCTCAGGGGCTGGGTCCAGCCTGCAGGGTACTTAGATCTGGCCCATGGGGCTGTCCCCCCAAATAGTGAAGGACTGCATGTGGCCCTCCGGAGCTCCATTTTCACTGGCAGAGGGCTGCAGAAGGCTGTTGCAACCAAAAATGGAGCTTGGGAGCCTGTTTTCTCTGGCAGTGCTCGGGCCTCCACAGGCACCCCCAACAGGAGTGACATTGAGCTGGCCATGCTCACCCTGGCCACACCTCCCCTCCCCCCAAGGTCAAACACAACCCTGATGTGGCCCTCAATGAAATCGAGTTTGATACCCCTGCTTTAAGCCAATCAATCTTTTTCAGCCCAAACCTACCTCCTTGATTCTCACTGTGTAGTTAAAAATAGGAGAGACTGCTTTGGTGCGATATGAATAATGATCTACATCACTCTAGGAACATTCAGTAAAATAATTTTCACTGCAAGCAATGGATTCTTAACAGCTTTTTTTAAAAAAGTAATATTCTCAAAAATATCGTGCAAAAGAGAGGAATGAAGGAATTCCTCCCCTGTCTCTTCCTTATATTTAATAGCATTTTAATCACTTTCCCTATCTTTGAACAACAGCAGTCGGGGACTCTTAATGCTCTTAAACATCATTTTGCTATCACTTCATTTCAGCATTTTTAATTACAACGGAACAGTTAAAATGTTCCAGATCCTAAACTGGAAAAAAAAAAAAATCCCATTGTCTTCTAAGTCACAATAAAATTCACCAGGTCTGCTTGTGGCACTCTGGATCTGTCTTGATGAGCATGAAAGCAACACAATTATCTTTGTTGGAGCGAAGCAGCTACATGACTTGCTTCAGTGAAGTGCTTCATATCACCTCAAAGCCTTGACTAGCATCCCAATAACCAAGAGAGGCTTCTGGTTAGGAATTCTGTATGTGCAGAAAAATGATTCTAGCTATAGAGTTTCCCCCCAAAAAAGCTGCCAGAGAAGTTGAAGCAAAACAGCCTTTTTTTCTTTCCTCTTAAAAAAATCCCTGGACTGCATTGCATCTTGACATTGATACTTGGCTATTCCAAGTATCTCTTTGTAAAAATGGCAGAACCCTAGAACTTATCATTAGAGGGGCAGAAATAGAACTGAAGAACAGAAAGGCTAGTAATGCAATCTCGACATGTTGCTGCAGCTGATCTTAGTATGCAGGAGTTGAAGATGAGACAGCTGATTTAGAGGGTGATTATGTGTTTACCTGGAAAAATTGTGATCACATCCTCTGGTAGAGTCCCAAAGCTATTTACAGCATGCATAAAATGTACAAGAGAAAAAAGGGAACTCTTTACTCTTTAAACAAAATAAAAAAGGGGGGATAACATGCAGTGGAAATGGAGCCATTATCTAAGATACAGTGCCCCCCAAAATGTATCCACATAATGAAATATATGGATACTGAAATAAATGCTTATAAATTGAAGCTATTATAACTTTCCCAAACTAGAGGGATATCGACCAAACATTCAATAGCAGAAGTAGTTAAATTGCACTTCAATTGTTGACAGCAACACAAGCTTACAGACTTCAGCCTATTACCCCCAACAATCTGGGTGCCTCATTTTACCAACATCAGAAGGACAGAAGGCTGAGTCAGTCTTGAGCTGGTCAGGATCAAACTCCTGGCAGTGAGCAGAGTTAGCCTGCAATACTGCATTCTAACTACTCACCACCATGGCACAGACCCCACCTGTAATCAGTCCTCTTCATTGGCTGTGAGGACTGAGTCACAGGTAACTGCTTATACTCCAACCCCATCCTGCTTTATTTCCATCAAAGAACTGCCTTTGGTGGCTTACTTTTCATGTGTGTATCAGTCAGCATTGACTCCTGACAACTCCCTGTGGTTTTTCTTGGCACGGTTTGCTATTTCCTCCTTCCTAGTGCTGGGAAAAAGTGATTGGCCCAAGGTCACCTAGGTGGCTTTGTATCTAAAGTAAGACTAGAATTCATCATCTTCTAAGTTTCTAACCTGTGCCTTAATGCAACACCAGATTGGCTCTCTTGGTTGCTACTGCTGTGTGCAAACTAAGACGTAATTGATTGTAATTTTATTCATGATGGCTACATAGCAGTGGTGGGATTCAAAAAAAAATATTACTGATTCTGTGGGCATGGCTTGGTGGGCGTTGCGTGGCTTGGCGGGCATGGCAGAAGGATACTGTAAAATCCACATTCCCTCCCCACCCCACTAATCTGCTTTCCAGCTCCGTTCTCCTGTGCAGGGCAACCAAAGAAGACCCAGCCAATCAGCTCGGACTCAATGGGAGGCAGAGAAGAGATTGGGGCGGGGCCAGTCAGAGGCGGGATTTGCCGGTTCTCTGAGCTACTCAAAAATTCCGCTACCAGTTCTCCAAAACTGATCAGAGCCTGCTGAATACCACCCCTGCTACATAGGCACATTCATGGGCTCTCCTACCCCCAGCAAAAAGAAGTGATTTGACATTGCCTACTTCTGGGAAGTTGGGTTTTCTTTTTTCTTCCCAATCCATTTTACAGACCTGGAATTTCCAGATTTGTTTGATTTTGCAAAATCAGCTTAGTAATTGATCCAAATTAAAATATTAATGTATTGTTGCTTTTAGGTTCTTCTGGTGGACCAAGGTGATTACCTAAACTTTTTTTAAAAAAAACTGGAAGGTAATTCCCACTAATTTTAAGAAGTTTTATCTGCAATGAAGTCTACCTAAAATGTAATACAGGATCCCCACACAAGTAGACATGTATATACTTCCTTAGCGATTTAGTTTAATCTTGTCATTATACAGCAGACTCAAATGACTGATGTAATCATACAAATAACCTCATTGCAATAACTCAGCATATACAAAGTGAGCAATAAGTTATTTACTGTGAACAATTAATGTTCAGTTATCACAGCAGCAATGTGTGTGTGTGTGAGTGAATGGTTGGGAAATAATGAAAAACATATCGTTAATGTTCTATTGATTTCACTGGCAATGATTGTGTAAATTTTGCAATGTCTGATTTATTCCTTCTTTATCAGAATATAATACAAGTTTTTTCAAAAGAAAGAATGTATGTAGGCATAGGAAGACTTTTTTAAAAAATTTATTTTAGTTTTTTGCATTCCACTTTTCATTGAAAAATGGTTACTTTTGGACAGTTGACATAATCTCGTTGAAGCCACCATTGAACTCAAGTTTGTGATTTATGATGGAAGGAAGGGAGGGAGGGAGGGAGGGAGGGAGGGAGGAAAAAGAAAGAAAGAGGATAATGTGTCATATAGTTCATTTTAAGCAAATAAGCTTATTAAAAAGCAATTGTAACTTTCTAATGCAACAGAAGTAAAAAAACCTCATTCCATGGTGAATATAAATCTAGATCCTATTACTGTTTTATTGTTTCTATTAATGGCCAACATCAACTTTCACCCAGATTATTGACTACGAAAATCATCTCTCTGTTCAAAATATAAGTATAAGTACCTTGTGTCATTATTCCAACTTCAGCACACCTATATTTGCTCCTTGCCTTAATTAACTATTTATCATTACATTTAAAGTAAGATTAATGTTAACTAAGCTTTTTTTCAAAGATAACTTCATAAATTAAGTTTCTGGTATTTATAACACCTGCCCTCAATAAAAAAAAAAAAAGAGTCCATGCTGGATTTCATTCTAACATCTGTATGGCACATCTGTATAAATTTGTGCCCTGAGAGAATCCTGAAAGCTCAACATCAACATTTATGTTGGACCAATCTTTTATAATCCAAGTTTCAAAATTTTTAAGTTTTCAACATCTGTCTACAGTCCTAAAACCCAAACATATATATTTCCTGTTTATTCCTAAGAATTTGACATTCCCAGGATCAATTTCTTTGCCATAGTAATGCATCCAAATTGCTACGATTTATCTTATATACCAAGAAAAACTGCATTTCATATTCTCACAACAAAAAAGGAAGATGATATATTTTGTTCATCTCATCCACATTCAACTAACAGCAAGAATTTCTGACAATTACTCAGTTGCTTTTTGAGTACTTTTATTTATTCATTTATCAAATGTATATGCTGCTCATCTACTGGTATTGTCAGAGCTGCCATAACTTAAACCTCTAAATAGAAACAATCCTTGGCTCCATTTTGTTGAGAAAGGTACATTTTATTAAAGTCAACAACTGAGAATTGTGCACCAAAATCCCTAAGCTCTAATTTCCCCTCCTTAACTGTCTCATTGTCCAACCCAGAATGACCAACTGGGTTCAGGCAACATGTTTTCATAATGGTCAGTCCAAAAGTGGTTTGATATATGGCTTCCTCCTTCTTCCAGCTGGGTGACCCTGAGGCAGTGTCTCAAGGAGATACAACCCTTACTTTCATTTTCCCAAGTTTTCCTCCTTTCATTTCCTCTCCCCACAGTTCATGGCAGACTGTCACTGCATTGCAGTGAAGCACAAGCAAGCATAAGGTGGCAGCTGACAGGTGTGGGGTAATAGTAAGTGGCTTCGTAGTGAAAAAGAGGTCATCCGCTGAGGCTGTATGCTCTACTGTCAAATAACTCTTTCCAAGAGTTATTCAGTTGAATATGCTTGCTTTAAATATGTTCCCACTGATTCCCGTCCATCTCTCTGAAGGATCAAAATTTGCTTTATCTGCACAGCAACTTCCCCATTTCTAAAGATGACTAAAGTATTCATGGGAATGTCCCTTAATTTTTCCTTTTGTTCCAGTCTTCAAGAGGTTGCAATATATAACCAGAGCTGAGAATCTGAAGACCTCACTGTCTAAAATTACTACTCCCAAGCCCAGTGTTGCTCCCTCTAGTTTCTTTTCTTCTCTGCCTGGTTGGTCTTTATAAAAGTGAATTTAGTTGCTTGTGAATAATATCTATGGCATCTGTGCGATGACATCCACATTCTTTACACCTAAATGCGTTTTATCCTCAGCTACAACATTTGACCTAATATCTATGGACTGAATCATGTCAAGCATTTCCACGGATGCCTCATTGCTTCTCCCTGACCAAACCAGAATAAAAATTTAGTGGAAAATAAAGGTCAGTCTTCCAATAAGTTAAAAGATGTTTCCGTAAAGGACTACAGAGATGGCCAAAATAGAAGTTGAAAGTTTCCCTTTTCTTTCAGATAGGTGCAATTTTTTTTTTATTAGAAAGAAACTTTGTGAACGCAAGAGGACAGGATCTGACTTCACAAACGTAAATAGGCTATACAGAAAGGATTGCCTTTTACACTCATTTAAAAGTTTTCTGTGCTAAAGTGGCGAAGCTAAGTAACATTAGCAATAGCACTTGGACTTATATACTGCTTCACAGTGCTTTTACAGCCCTCTCTCAGTGGTTTACAGAGTCAGCAAATTGCCCCCAACAATCTGGGTCCTCATTTTACTTGCCTCAGAAGGACGGAAGGCTGAGTCAACCTTGAGCCGGTGAGGATGGAACTCCTGGCCGTGTGAGCAGAGTTAGCCAGCAATACTGCATTGTAACCACTATACCATCACACATGAATGTTCATGGCCAGTTTTGTACACATGTGGATAGTTCACATTTTCAACTATCCAATATAAATTCATCAGAACATTATTGTGGATCTCTGTCTCTACTTTCAATGCATGTCTTAGGACTTGTGATGCCTTTTCTCAACTACTCAAATAAGGACCTATCTCCTGAAATATTGACTAAGATAGGCCCCTTTGGGAGGAATTGTTGACCCAGCTTATTTTTGGAAGAAGACCATTACCAATTATAGGTCCCCCTACCCCATTCCTAAAATTGCTTGGAATAGACAGAGCCATGCAATAAAACAGAAAGTGCCCTTGATGTTAATATAGGGATAACACTACCAAAATTTCCTTCTCTTGTCTCAAGGACCTCACTTATATTTCTCTCACATTTCCTAGTTGTCACTATAAAATTATTTCTTCTGCATATGGAAGAGCATTCACAAGTTCCAATGCTGATCAAAGGGAGACATATGAGTCATTTTGAAAGTGAATAATGATATTAGAAGTGTCTGGATTTGATTATTACTGTTGAAGTAATTCCCCATTAGGAGAATCAGCACATACAGGGAGACGTAGTGAGAGTGGTGAAGAATAACACACAAACAGCACACAGATACACTGTGCAGTAAATATAGGTTTTTACTTCCAATAAATATTTAAGCAAAGTCCAAGATAAGCAGTTCAAGTCATTCACAGGTAAAGCAGTCAGTGGTCAGTTCAGGGATAATCCAAATATCAAAGTCCAGTATCAAAAAACAGTTCAGTAACAGGCTTATATCAATGATCAGTAACAGTCATTAGGAGGAACAGCAACACCCTCCAACAGAAGGAGCAGATACTCACTGAGACTAAACAACCCATATAGGGGGCTGTTGTATGCGGGACTGAGGGTGGCTGCCTTCAGGGTAGCATGAGTGTGGAGCCTTATCAATTGTTGGAGGGCCATCTTGTTGGACCATTTGTTGAGATAATTAAAACTGGGCATGTCTAGTCTAGTGAAGAGAAGGACCAGGGGAGACAGGTTAGCAGTCTTCCAATATTTGAGGGGCTGCCACAGAGAGGAGGGGGTCAAGCTATTTTCTAAAGCACCTGAAGGCCAGGCAAGGAATAATGGATGGAAACTGAACAAGGAGAGATTTAACCTGGAAATAAGGAGGAATTTTTCTGACAGTTAGAACAATCAACCAATGGAACAGCTTGCCCTCAGAAGTTGTGGGAGCATCATCACTTGAAACTTTCAAGAAGAGATTGGACTCCCACCTGTCAGAAATGGTGTAGGGTCTCCTGCTTGGGCAGAGAGTTGGACTAGATGACCTACAAGGTCTTTTTCAACTCTGATTATCTGTTATCTGTTAAAAGACTCTCTGGAGACCTGCCTTGACTACCTGGGTCATAACAGGTTGGTCTTGTGATTGGTTGAATCAGAAGACTGACTGAGTCA